CACACACACACACACACACACACACACACACACACACACACACACTAAATCTCTGACTAATCATTAGCAGCCTAAACAATAATGATGTTTTCTTATAAATAAATGTTCTGCCTCATTCTGAAAGTGACACAAGGCACTAAAATATGTTCAAACACAATAATTCTACCGTTTGATAAGTCTACGTTATACGAAGAATTATCTTCAGCTTGAGGCCGTGATGATAAGAGAAAAGTGTTATGCGTTTGTGTCTTACTGTTTATTATTCATATATGAATATTATTTAGATTACTGAGGACTAATCCGAATATTACTGATGTTTAAATGAAATGAAATAAATAGAAATATAAAATAAAATCATTGAACTGTGATATTCTTTTTAGGATAACAGAGTTTACTGCAGGTCATTATTGTTTCATTATATTTTATTTCATTTATTATTTTAAAATGTCTTTTTTCCAATGAATTCTGTGATTCGCTGAATGAGCAAACATAATTTCTTCACATAAATAAAACTATAAAATGAAACTTTATTTTGTCTGATGTTTACTGAAAGTAAAATGCATTTACATGCAGAGTTAAAAAACGACTGTTTCATATGAATTCATCCCTTCGTGACGATAAAGACCCTTTGTGTTGTTCCTACAGGATCCTAATGTTTTGATCTTGTTTTAACCCCTTTGTTTTTTTAAGTCGGTTATTTGTATTTGTGCTGCTGTGATACTTCAACTCGAGAACCCTCTTTGTAAATATCCTGACTAACAACTAAATAAACAACCAAACAAAACTGAGTTCATCCTGTAAGTCCGATGTGTTTGTGCCGTTAGGTTAACGAGTGAACTCGTGCGAGTCATGTGAAGTTCTATTCTGAGCCACAGCAGCACGCCGACAATAAACTAACTCAGGGCTTCCTCCACAAAATACGGAAAGACTTCATCAAACTATGTCATGGTGAACAATCGGGTTCAATGAGACTGAAGTCCAGAAAATAATGCTTAATAATCCCAGTTATAAGCACAAATTATAACTTCATTTGTCTTATATGGTGGGGTTCAATGATGGAAGAGTTAAAGTCTATACATTTTATGTGTGCAATTATCCACAGCAGTTCTTTTAAGTAGACTTAAACATTCGAGCTGTGTGTGTGTGTGTGTGTGTGAATTCTGTTTGGGTAGACTGTTAGGGAGTTAAACATATTTAATATCTATTCTATATTGCTGTGAAAACATCTTCAAACAACTGGATTCATTTAAGTTTCTCATCAAAAACTAAACTTTACATTTGAACGCATCATGATGGAGTTATGCTGTACCTTCACTCAATGCTCCGTTTTTACTGAACAGAGCTCGAACGCATCGTAACGCAACCTCCTTTAACGTTAGCCGTGAGCTCCGTTATTTAGCGGCATCAGTGTGTGTGTGTGTGTGTGTGTGTGTGTATGTGCACGTGTGTATGTGTGAGCACGTGTGTGTGTTTTACCTGAGCTGTGACTGTAGCTTGGCTCCTTTGGTTACAAAGTCCTCCCACGTTGGATAACTGGCCTGCAGCGAACACAGAGAACACCGACGACATTAAACATCACACGAGTCCGACCACAACAGGATCCACGGAGTGTAACTGAGACGTTCAACACAAAAGCTTTTCAATCTGTATTATTTATATCAATAATCGTAAAGAGTTTATGGCCTTAATGAGGGAGATAGAGTCGTTACTAAAGTGTTTAACCCGTCAGCTGTTTCTCTGCACGGGATTTTTGCCGGTACTTTTTCATGTCTTTGAGGATCACTTTCATAACTTTACATTCTCCTAAAGGTCTGTGTGTACACGAATAAATAAGAATATAAAAAGGTCTGAGTCTGTTTCCACGAGCAGAGAACAGCGGAACAGGAAGTGACCGAACTGATCTGCAGGAACATGTAACGGATTGTTTAAAAAATGGAGATTGATGACTTTTCCAAAACTTTCTGGGTTCATCTATTTTTAAACCCTTCTCATGCCGGGACATTGCCATATTCACGTTGCATAACTTTTCCACAATCATACGAACCCTAAAAGGAGCATTTATGATATGATTTTAAGAGTAGAAATTACATGATTTATCCTGAAAGGAAATAAATATGAGATTGGATATAAATCTGGGGTATTAGATCAAGATCAGGACTGTAAGGAAGAGGAGAGTTTGCAAAAATAAAAGAGACAGCTCGGTAGAAAAGAAAAAACTAATTCAGAATATCGATGAATAAGATGAACGATGGAGGCAGAAGGTCAAACGTTATACCAGTTTAAGTTGCCGTCAACTCTTTTCTGTCAACTAATGGATTGATCCAACAGTCGTAGCCTCACAGCTTTCCTTCTGAGTTACTGTGAACAGCAGCAGCTCTGAACTGTTTAAAAGATGGACAGCTGACTGACTCGTGTTATTTTTGGCTCCTCAGTGTTTCACATGAGGATCACAGTCGGTGGCATTTCAACGTTCGGCTTTTATCACCAATGAGACGAGAGTCTTGTTTTCATTAAACTTCTTCCACTCAAGACGGTTAGAAAAAAGAAAATCATCACAACAGAGTGAGTTCCAGCAGCATCGCTTGTGAATTGAATAGTTCATTCTTTATCAAAATAGTAACTGATTAATGCATGAAATTGACTTATTAGTCGACTAATCCTTTAAACACCCGTGAACATATTTGATGGAAACACACACACACACACACTTTGATGAACTTTCAGTATTTTGTCCATAACTTGAGCAACATTTGAATGTAAACAAACTAAAGAATATCTTTACTAAACTAACTTCTCTGCATCACCAACACCGCCCAACATCCCTGAGAGGTGCTCCGAAGCTCTACAGAAGGAAAGACTATTTTATTCATCTTTGAACTGCAGAATATTTCACACGTCTTCGTTGAAGAGCTGTTTGCACATCGGCCGACTGTACCAGCAGCTGATCGATTACGTCATTTGAGGCCGGCTTTGACCCTGAGTTACATCTGCAGCCGACAGCTGCAGCTGCTGCTGCTGCGCTCTGGTTATTCAATTAAAACAAAATATACAGGGAAGCCCTGTTGGAACGCAGAGCCCGAATCACCACTTTCTCTCTCTGTCCTGAACCCGGTCACCCTGACCGTCCTCCTCTTCCTCAGATAATACCGATTTAACCCCTAACACCGCGCCATTAGCCTCTTAGCTCCACACCGGTAAAGCCGTTAGCCCCCCCCCCCCAACGCTCCACAGCTAGCCGGCATGCACACGGCATGAGGCCGTCAGCTTTACTAGCTACGGGGATTTAGCGCCGCGCCGTGAAATACTGCAGGTGACCAGTGAAGCCAGGACGTATGGAAAAGAGGAAGTGAATTCACTGTATTGATCCCAGCGGGGGGACACAACGGGTTGTGGCTGGAACAGAATGCATGCTGGGATTTAGAGAGGGGGGGAAAGAGCATAAACTCACAAGTGAAATTTAAGATGACGCACATTGAAGGTAATCTAGAATTGAGCATTTGTACAGAAGTCATTAGTGTTTTATGGGATTGGTAAAGTTCTAGATATGATAACGTGGAGTGTTCTTTTGAATTGAAAGCATTTATAATATATTGTAATCTTTCCAAAACCTCATCTCATGAGAGGGTTTTTCTTTTTTTTGACAAAAACCCTCATTTTAATCTTTCACTAAATCCATGTGTGTAAAATTGTCTCATGTATAAATCTGACGGGACTTGTTCGGATATCAAATCTCTTGTAGCTCGTAGCTCTGCCACCGGTATCTCATCACATTCATGTACATTTTAGTTCTCACGGTGCGATAGTTCGCCCTAAAGCATTCATGTACAAAGACCTTTAGTTCAGTGAGACCTGTAAAACAATTAGCCCAAATACACTTGTGTTTACATCTTAGCTTCTTGTGCATGACATTCGTTTTTGGTCCGTTAGCAAAAACCAACCAGACGTGGTACAACCTGCCTTTTCCTTTAGATCCTATGTGATGAGCGTTATGATTTCCTACTTCCTTAAAGTGGCCATCTTGAAGATTTTCATTAAAAAGGAAGTAACACAATGGTGACTGAGCCTACAGGCCCACTACAGGGCTTGACAGCACTGTAATATTACCTTTATGTGACATGTGATATCTAAAGAATGAAGTCTATTCTACTTACGCTATCACTTTAAATCCAGAACCTACAACACTAAATGTCTCCTCTTGTATCTCAGCCTCCTCGTTCCCACCGCCGCTTCTCGCCTGAACCTTAAATTCTGTCGAGGTTTGTTGTGACTAACAGGAATGTCACAGTCCGCCGCAGACGTAACATCTCAGCAGCAGGTTGTTTTTCTGCAGCGAGCAAGAGCTGAACGAAACGCCTCAGACGGACAAAGAGCACCAGCGCTTGAGATTCAGCAGCTTGAGAGCGGGTTGTGGCTAAATTAGGGTCCCGGGGGCCCTGCGAGGGTCAAAGACCGAGTCCAGAAGAGTTCATTGAGACAGCTGAAGACAAAACAGCTGCAGACTCTCAGAAGAAGAAGTAGTGGCAAAGGTGGTGACTGAACTACATAATACATGAGAACCAGTCGGATCTTTGATTGTGTTTCATTTAATCTGGGTTTCGTGGTCGAAAATGTCAGAAGTAGTGGTTGTCGGCTCGGAAGGAGATCCATTTATACATACATATAAACATCATTTATTGTTAAATATAAACATTAGGATTCTGGGTCTTCTCGACTGATGGCTTGAGCTACGAACTATCAGTCGAAAGTAAAGACAAAAGCCCAAAATGACATCGTAAAGTTGCTTAATAGAAGAAGAAGAAGAAGAAGATGACCCATCTTAGTACCAAATGTTACCAAGTGTAAGTGATCGTTATCAAAGATAAATGTTTATGGTATTTAATCAACGAAAAAGGAGTATATGAAAATAGAGTTTTTAAAGATAAAGCAATCCGCATAAAGAATCTGACATCAGTCAGGTTGTATCTAATATTATGTTCATCTGTAGTGCTGAAAGGTTTCTTAAAGAAGATTAACTGAAGACAAATGTAATATATTGATGAAAGGTTTTGCTACCAGCATGAAAGTGTAGTTTTAAGATGACCCAGTAAACTCTGTTCACCTACAGAGCCGTCATTCTGTCTGCTTACAGGTCTACGGTTACTTTGGTCCGAGGGCGGAGTCACCGTCTATCAGCGGATAATCCTCCTCTGATAATCCCGACACGCTCTACTGACCGGCAGAAAGGAAAAGAGACGGGACGTCCCGGGAATGTGAGAGTACTGCTGTCGACCTGACGGGACTTCTAAAGAAAGACTGTTTAGTCACTGAGTGGACCAACTTCTTCTTCTTCAATGTGCTCGTTTTGTTCGACCAAAACCAAAAAGATATTCCATTAAAATGAGTAAAAAGGTAGCCAACAGTGTGCTGATGGTGTCATTATAAAGTACCACAGTTTATCATGTGTTTAAGGCCTATCTCCACAGTAACGCATCAAGACATCATCTCAAACAACAGCTTACAGCAAACCAGAGCTGTGAACACTTTTAACTTAACTTGTAAAACAATTTATTTTGTCTTAATATTCAATATTTAACCGTTTACTTGTGTATTACATATTTGTTCCTGTAATGTCTCTGTTTTTGTTCCCTGCCTCGGGACAACAGATGTAAATTAGCATTCTTGCTAACTCCGGCCTGTTAACATCTTATATTTCATACTGATGTGCTGATTTCAATGTGCTCCGTAGCTATCAAATAAAGAAATAAATGACATAGCGATTGGTTCGGCCTGCCTTTTTATTGGCTGTAGTAACATGCCATATCTCTGTTTAACTTCATAGCTGCAAATGCATTTATCTATTGAGATTAAAAGAACCTAAAAAACAACAAAAGATAATATTTCCTCAAACAGAATTAAAATGTTCTAATGAACGGATGCATTGTTCTACACAATCCACAGCTAAATATAAACATGGTAGATATGTTTATATTTTCGCATGATCTGGACAACACACCTAACTTGAGTAAATAAACAATCTCGGCATTGAAAATGTTTAAATCGTGACAATCACCCAGATTCTGGTGAGACGTCTAGTAGGAATCCATCAAAAGAAGACGAACGGTATAAACTTCTGTAATTAAAAAAGCTAAAATCACTCTGGCTCATGCAAAATGTAAATCCTGTCACCTGATCTAAACACACCTGTGTGTTTACCATGTTCAACTGGAAGGTCAGAGGAATAACAGGACGAACCAAAACAAAGAACTGATAACTTTAGAGAGAAACACCAACGTCTCCAGAGAACAAGGGACTGAAGACAGGTTAAAGCCTCAAAAATCCAGTTATGGACGATCAAAGAAACCCGATGCTGCTGGTGAATTGTAACAGGAGGCGTTTCCTTCACTGTGTGTAGGAAACACGGTGTCCTAAAACAAGGAAACGAGTGAGCATTTGGTTCCCTCGTCTCAAAGTCAGCGGGTTCATTGTTAGATGTCTGAAATAAGGTCTGTGGTTAACACAAGCTAATGAAGGTTTATCTCTATGACATAAAATACATCGG